AGTTTTAAAGGCCATATTTTATAATTGTAATGCTATTTGGTTCTTTTGCTTCACATTTTATCTGTGAGCATTGCTTTTCAGTGTGATTCTTTACTTATGTATTTTAAACTTGGAGCTGTAAAGTTTTTGTTGTGTTTCTTGACTTTTAATCTTTGTCAAGTTCTCTTTTTTTCTCTAATTGTTTGTATTTTGAAATGGTGTACTCAGCTTCAATAACAATCACTTTTTACTTGGTAAGAATACCGGAGTGGGTTGCCATTTCCTTCTCCAGGGGATCTTCCTGACCCAGGGATCGAACCCAGGTCTCCTGCATTGCAGGCAGATTCTTCACCGACTGAGCTATGAGGGAAGCCCCTCCTCATTCTAACCCCCTGACTATGTAGAGTGGTCTGTCCACCACCACTCTGTCAGTCTGTGAGATGTGTAAACTACCGTAAACTTCTGTTTTGCTGTGACACCGAGATTTTGGATTTATGTCATTGCAGCCGAGCCTAGCCAGCCCTGACTGATCCGCCTGATGTACAAGGCCTCCCAAGAGCCGTCTCTCTAGGCTCCTTCTCCGCCTCTCTCCCCTCGTTGCTGCATCCCCCACACACTGCGAGGTTCAGTTTCCAAATACAGCCGCTCTTTTCTACTTGGGACTTTCGTACACATGTTCCTCCGCCACACACACTCTTCCTTGCATTCTTTGCCCGATTTCTTCCCCAGTCCTCAAACCACACACCGATTCCTTAGGGAAGCTGCCTCTTGTTCTCCATCTGAAACCACAGCTTTTATTGATTTTCTCTCTCAGAGAACCGTCTTTCCCCTTAATAGCATTTTATTGAATATTTAATTATATGTTTATTTGTACAATGTCTTCCTTCTCTAGCCTGTGCTCTGTATGTATCAGGAAAGGCACTGTTTTGTTCAGTTCTATTTATGTGACACAAGATGGGGGCTGAAGACACATTTATTGATTAATATTTATTTGTTGTTGAGTGAATGGGCTGCTCATTTCAAACCCTTGCATTTGTTAAGTTCCTAGGTGAAGAATTTCCATTATGCGTCTATTGTGAAATATGAGGTTAAAAGTGTTATGTGATTGACAATTTGAATAAGATAGTATATGTTAATGTCTTCTGAAACGCTTCTTGTCATACTCAAATTATCCTTATTAATTATTATAACTAAATTCTATAATCCTGGAGGTATTTCTGACAAAATTCTATCAATAGATAAATGGGTAATGCTAAGTCTTCATACCATACAATTTAACTTGGAAATAGAAAACCAAATTTACCCTTACAGAATTCATAGTTACACAATATATGAGTATTACAAAGGTTTAAATGTATTTCATTGTAGCTATATATATTTATATATATATAGCTATTATTTTATCTCTCACCTCATGAGTAATTTGAGGACAGAAATTATTTTGTTTTCTTCAATATACCTGAGAATTTACTGCATAATGTTTATCACATGCTAGATGCTTAGTTGCTATATGAAAAATAAATGATTAAATACATTAATTTTCATTGATTAATAATTATAATAATTAGTCTTGATCTCCATGCATGTCAAAATAAAATAAGAATTTAATTCTTGAACCTCATTTTTTTTAAAGAAATGACTAATTTAGAAGTTCCTGGTGAAATTAGAGGATTTAACAGGCAAAAATGTCATGAAATAAGAGGTTTCTAAGATTTTGAATCAAGTTCAGGCAAACATAAATAAAAGTGAAATGATCATACAGTGCATGGCCTGTTTGCTATTCTTAATACTGTTTTGAGAAATTCTATGACTGGATTTGTGCTGTAGTGATTCCAAGCCAAACATAGACATTTTGACAATTCGTTTCAATTTTGAGTATAATTATATTGTTCATTTAAACATGCATGATAAAGCAGTTTAATCAGAAATCTATTGCTTGCTCAAAATCCATGCAAGAGCTATTTTTTCCCAATGTCAGCTAAGTTGTTTTGGTTAACATAGAAGAATGGATATTCAGGGAGACCATTCTACAAGCAACTGAAGGACTGGTTAGAAAACATGTTTCAACATGGGTTAATTCTGGCTTTTGGTGTCTTGAAAACAAAGGGAAAAAAGTGGCAGATGTTGAACAAAAGAAAAAGCGAGATAAGAAAGTGAGAGAATCAAATCCAGCTTTCAAAATACAAATTTAACACATGCCGGGGGCGGGGCAAAACCCAAAGGTCCAAATTATCAAGAGGTTAAAAGGACTTCCTCTGTCTGTGGGTCTGTGTGTATGTGTGTTTAATAGTGGCTTATAGGTTAAACACAGCAAACTCTCTGTCTCACTGAGAAGTTGAAACCTCACACCCAGGCTTACACCCTGGGGCTGAAGCTGATAGATGTGTGTCACAGTGAAGAGGTAAAATTATTTCTCATTGTCATCTTTGTTTCTGTCAAGTTTGTGGATGGATGAATGGTGCAGAATTGAGAGAATCTGAAGACAGAGGCCCAGACAGCTTGGAAGGCATCAAATATATTGAGCAGAGAGAACTGGGGTACTTCTCCGTCAGGGTGATTAGCCTGTTATAAACAAAACAGCTTTAAACTCCCACTTCACACTGTTAACTAACAAGGTCCCTGACCTTGTCCCCATTTCTGGGGCCGGATGAGGTCCTGTCTGGAGACGATCCGACCAACAGTCCTAACTGGGACTTGCCTCCCCTTAGGGGGGGCCACTGTCTTCAGGGTGATTGCTTCCTTGTGCCTTAAACCCCTGACCCAGTCCAGCTTTTAACTCATTATTCATCAATTTTCCTAGTCCATTGGAAAAAAAAATGCAGTAGGGTTGCTGCTCAAATACAAGGGAGGTTGGGGGTAGGGAAAGTGGCATTCTGGCAAAAAAGGACAACCCTGTCAAAACATGACAGCCGATCCAATGCCTGTTTTATACTATTCGTAGAAAATGCCAAATTCTGCAAATAGTAACCACATGTACATTGGCTTCACAGACGCAATGTTCTGCTACAAAATGAGACGTTCTTTATTTTAGTGTATCATCAAAGGCAGTGAAAATATCATTCTAGCCTTCTAGGTTAACCCTGTGGGTTCTCGATTTCTAGAAGTTTAATGTGAGCAGTGTGCACGTACGCACACGCACGCACACACACTCACACTCACTCAGTCGGGCTACATGAGCAGTCTCCCTGGCCCACACAGCCCACTATCCTGAAAGGCAATTTGACTCACAAATGTGTCCCAGGGCCATTTGTATTCCTCACCAGGGGATGATTACAGGGACGAGCCCGCATCTGACGTTTAGAATCTTGCTGGCTTTGCCAAATGGAGGATGGGAGAGAAACAGCTTGGGGGAAGCATGGCAGGAGGGCTGAGGTATCACTCAGACTCCTGTGAGCACCGCAGCCAGGGTCCCTGGAGGCCGTTTCTTGCCCTGCCTTTCCTGGCTGGTGCCCTCCAGGTTTTGTCTGGATGCATTGGGACTGGTGTTCTAATGCAGATCTGCGGTGCAATTGTTCTTTTGGGGGCACCTGGCTGGTAGTCCCTTGCATTAGCATTTAAAAGAGCCCAGCACAGATCCGAACCCAAGATGAAAGTTTTGAGCAAAGCGGGCCTAAGCCGACCGTCACCAGCTGGCTTTGAGGCCGGGCCCTGTTCTTGCCCAGGAATGCTTCTAGCACCTTCCACATGGCCACTGGCTCCAAAGGCGCCTCCTGTTTATCTTCTCCTCCATAACAAATAGTCTCCGTAGTGGCTGCAGTAAATCTCCTTCAGTCTGGAAGCCTCAGCCATGGCTGTTTGTCCTCTTTCTCCCGGGCTAGCTGGCTTCTCCCCCCGGGTCTGCCTGTGCTCTGACTCTGACAATTATTTCAAAATGTCTGTACTTGGCCTCTTGATGAAAAACAAAAGAACCCATAAAGAGCAAGGAAACTTCTCCCGCTTTCCGCTCAGACTTGAGGCCACAAGCAGGGCAGCATGTCCTGGGGAAATGGCATCTGCCTGCTTGTTTCCCAGCTGAAGGGGAGATAGATAATAAACGGCAGAGGCTTCTGCTCGCAGCCTGCACGACGCAGGACCCGACTGATCCTTTCTGATGGCAATAAATAAATGACGGAAGTTTTAGGCACCAGACTAGTGAATTGGTGGTTAAGCCTCAGGCTTTTATCTCCCTGACCCCTATTTGAACTCAACCTTGGTTCCTAAGTGCAGGGCAGACAAAGTGGGGTGGGAGGAAGGTTTCTTATCGACATGAACACCCCTTCCAGCTCAACATAAAGAAATATGATGCTATGTGTGTGCGTGTGACTCGGGGGCAGAGGTGGGGGTGGGGAATATTTGTACGAACAATGTGAGAACAGAGCAAAATTCCAGCTCTTATTTCTTGATGCCTATCCCATGGACACAGTGTTTAATAGCATATTAAATAATTTCACCAGCATCTATTGGGGTAGGGGGTAAGGAGGTGACAGTTGTGGGTAAAGCACTGTTTACACTGCTGAATATGCAAGTTTAAAGAGACAAACTGTTTCAGGAACTTGGAAAGAAAAAAAATATCAGTGCCGACGCTAGCAGTGGCTAGCATTTATTGAATCATAAATATGCCAGTTGCTGTGCTAACACGCTTGATATGTGTTATTTCATTTAATCCTCACAACAACTCTGTGAAGTAGGTTCTATTATGTTTTCTAATTTTACAAATGAGGATCTTGTGATTTAGAGAGGTTTCATGATTTATCTAAATCCCATGCCTGGAAAATGGTAAAGCCAAGAGAAACAATCTAGATCTCACCCTCATATTATATTACCTCCTTGAAAAAGAACTTAATGCATAAGGTTCCCCAATCTGATAGATGATGACCACATTTCCAGCCAAAATTCCACACGTATATTCTGGCAATTCCAAATGTATCCATGAGAACAATTGATCTGACTGTTTGAGATTAGGATTGTATTATCTCTCTGTAGTCTCCTCATCTGAAAAAATGACCATGATAGTAATGATCTCTGAGTCTTTTGGTAGAATGATTTTCAAAATGGTTTGTCCAGTAAATGGAGAACAGTGGAAATGGAAACAAGATTCAGATGCTGTTTAAAGTGGCTGTTCACCAAGTCCTCCAGTAAGATTCCCAAACTTATTGTCAGAACAAGACTTTGAATTTGTAGAACAGTTCTATTTAATTAGAAACCCTAGGGCTCCTGTTCTCAATAGGAACAAGGCAAAGGGTGGCCTTTAATGTAGTTTTGTTATAGTTACTATGGTGGATAATCAAGAAACAGTGTTCATGGTGGGGGGATGCACCCACTGGTGGAGGAATTTTGGGATGCACAAATCTATTTTTGGTTTAATACTACAGTAATTCTCCTACAGAAAAATGAGTTCTGTTTCAAGACTGTGTACTTATTTGTAAGTCCAACAAAGTTAGCCTAGGCATTCAACTAGCACAATCAGCTACATAGTACTGTATTGTTATAGGTTTATAATATTTTTCACATAAATATTGCAGAAAAACAAAAAAATTAAGAAAATAATTTTAATCTTACAGGACCTCTAAAAGTATAGAAGTCAGTACAACAGCTGGCATACAGGGGCTGGCATGGAATGAACAGACCAGTAGAGTTACTGAGGGAGGAGGGAGCGGAGGTGGGAGATGCTAGAGCTGAAGGATCATCAGCAACAGGAGACGGAGGGCAAGCTGCGAATTCACAAAGGCCTGATGCTGACGGCACAGGCTCTGGTTCCTTGCAGGATTCAAATCTATCTACCTTCTTGAAAAAATGATCCAGTGGTACAGTCTGGTAGTACCATACAAGCTATGTCATTGCTGCTTTCCTGCTTGCTTTCAGATGTCCTGGACTTGATATATATGCTACTGTCTTCTATACAGTATTGTGCAGCAAGGTACACAAAATCACGGCCACTTGTAGTGAATGCCCACATGTGACAATATAAGGCAGACACCCGAACTAACTTACTCGATTGGACCTGCAGACGCTCATTCATATCTTTGAAAGTTAGCAACTTAAAGGTTTGTATGTATTCTATAAAGAGTAAGTAGGCACTTTAGGCATTTGAATACTTGTTTTATTTTTATGTCAAGGAAAGTTCTGAATGGTTAGATTTCAGGGGGTTTTATCTCATGTTTCTGGTTCCTGGAGAAAGTCAATCTACTTTCTCCCACTAGATAAACCTATAGGTATGTGAATTAAAGCAGTAAAGATATGACTAAACAATTACCACAGGAGTTGGAAAAGAATGCCCTATAAGAAAAAAGACCCAAGACTTAGGGGGTTTTTGAAAGGGTACACAGTGGGGAATTGAAACATACCCAACTGTTTCATTGTCTAGTGAAAACTCAAGCCCCAGTGTGTCCCATCTCTATTTCATCAACACTCCTTTGACCTCAGAAAAGTGACCCCTAACCTTGCCTTTTATTTGAACTTCCTAAGTTGCTACTTTTTCTTTTACCTGAAGGTCCGTTTCTGATTTTCCTCTAGATTTGGATCAACACACCAGTCATTCCTCGGCTTGAACAACTCCATCTACCACAAGGCAACATAACTGTGGCAGGAAGTATTTGCCATAATTACCACTTCAGTTTAAATTCTAACTCCCAATCCTGAGTGTACTGTCCTTGTATTCTACCCAAGTTTTCTTGTTGTTTAGTCACTAAGTCATGTCCAACTCTTTTGTGAACCCATGGGGTGTAGCCTGCCGGGCTCCTCTGTCCATGGGAATTCCCAAGCAAGAACACTGGAGTGGGTTGCCATTTCCTTCTCCAGGGGATCTTCCAGACCCAAGAATTGAACCCACATCTCCTGCATTGGCAGGTGGATTCTTTACCACTGAGCTACCAGGGAAGTCCATCAATGTAAGAGGGCAACAGAGGATGAGATGGTTGTTTCGGGCATCACTGACTCAATGGATATGAGTTTGAGCAAGCTCCAGGAAATAGTAAAGAACAGGGAAGCCTAGTGTGTTGCTGTCTGTGGGGTCAACATGACTGAACACCAACAACCAGAACACAACTTGTTTGGGAGGCATGGTAAAAGAGTAAAGTTTCTTTCACTGCAGGAAAGTGTATTTACATATCTTTTTCTTCTTATAGTATCAATAATATGGTTAATCTGGGGAATTTCCTGGTGTTCCAGTAGTTAAAGTCTGAGTTTCCACTGGAAGGTTACACAGATTCAACTGAAGTTTGCACAGGTTCAATTTCTGGTTGGGGAACTAAGATCCCAAAAGCCCTGCAGCGTGGCCAAATATGTATATTTTTTCATGGAACTTTTAGAAAGCTTCATTGCTTAATTACAAGTGAAATAAGTTCCCTGGGAGAGAAATAGGGATCCAAAGTGTGAAAGCATTTACTTTGAGTAGTTCATCCTCTGCCCTTGCCCAAGAAGGGTATTTGTCATGAAGAATGGGTCTGGGTAAATAAGCAAAGGATGTAAAATTTATCCAAAAGTGTTGAACCATATTGGAAATGCAAAACCCAGCTTGTCACCTCAGAGGATTTCAATCCTGGATCTTTTCCTAGACTCTAGAAGAGCTGAGGTCACTGTAATTTATTATTGGCAAGACCATAAATGTCTAATAAAAATAACTTGATTATGAGCATTTTTATTTAAAGTTTTATATGCATGTCTACGCTGAAAGTTTTCAATCCTTTATTTTGAATATACTCCCCATTTTCCTGGCAATGTTATTTCCATATTTCCTTGAAAAGTCGCTCAAGATTATTTTAAGTAATATTTTAAAACTCTGCCTCTGTATTTAAGAAAGAAAAAGAAAATCAGAAAGTGGCTGAGGAGAAATAGGTTGCTTTCTGGCTCCTGTAAAAATTGGGGATTATGGTTAACAAGAGAAACCAAAAGGGAGTGCTCAGTCTAAATTCTGCACAGCCCTGTCCATGGCCAGATTACTGGGAATGTCTCCTTCACTGCACGGATGAGGCAGGAGCAGATCCAGCTACTGGATGGCGCTTTTGGAACCCTTTGGCCATTTGCAGCTAGTAAATAAAGAGCTATGGAGCCACTGACTACCAGACCCTTGCCAACACTATCAGACAGTAAAGGATGTTTTCTTGGGCCCTGACTGGGCCTCAACTAAGTGGACAGGAATGGGGTTACAGAATGAGCTAGGGCTCCAAAGCCTTCTCCTGTAGGTCACATTCTCACCGTCTGCTTGTGCCAAAGTCTTCCCAGAAGGCCTTTGTGAAGAAAGTAAAATTTATCCTCACACAGCCTTAAAATGCTGACATTCCATGTTGACACGGATTGTTTACACAGAAAATTAATCAGTTACGGTTTTAAATTTTAATTAAAGAATGTTTTCTGGTGTTATTGCAAAACAGACAAAAGCCCATAAAATGTATATTTGACTGCTGTTGTGTGTTGTCTTTGGATTGAGGCACAGTCATGAGATCAATCATGCGTGATATTTTTGTGAACTTTTCTTTTAACAGAACAACCTTCACATAAATTAGGTTCATTAAAAAATATACATCAAAATAAAAGTCATTCTGAGAAACTGCGATGAAATTTCCTTTCTAATCAGCCACAGACTACTTTGTACTTGTTCTGTAAATAATAATATGGAAAGAAAATAAGTCAGCACTCAATTGTGCAGTTAGCTGCTATTTGCTGTTGAACCAAAAGTGACTTAAAGGAAGTTACACATTTTACTCACATTTTGATCGAGAGAAAATTAGTGGTTCAGTGAACGTTGTCATGGTGGGAATATTTTGTTTTGAGATGGTGCTGAAAGTTTGCATATTTTTTTATTAGTCTTGTATTCTTATATTTCTTTTTCTTCTGTATCTTGCTTTATTTCTCTGATAGTTAAAGCAATAAATGATTCTTATATAAAAGGGAGAAAAGTACATAGAATCAAAAGTTCTTAATAATTGCTCTTAATAAAAAACAACTGTTACATTTCTCTATTCTATTCAATGCGTTTACTAAAATCATTTATATAGTTTCAAAAATGCCTTAAAAATAGCTACATAGCACATCAGAAGTGCATAATCCTTGAATATTGAGAGCTCAAAATCTAGTGCTAAAACTACTGATAAGAATAGTTACAATAAAAATACATCAAATTAAAAGTATCAGTCAGTTCAGTTCAGTTCATTCGCTCAGTTGTGTCCGACTCTTTGCCACCCCATGAATCGCAGTACTCCAGGCCTCTCTGTCCATCACAAACTCCCGGAGTCTACTCAAACTCATGTCCATCGAGTCGATGATGCCATCCAGCCATCTCATCCTCTGTCGTCCCCTTCTCCTCCTGCCCCCAATCCCTCCCAGCATCAGGGTCTTTTCCAACAAGCCAACTCGTCACATGAGGTGGCCAAAGTATGGAGTTTCAGCTTCAGCATCAGTCTTTCCATATACTAGCAAATAAAATTTGCAGTACCTTAAAAGTAAACAGGTTTGTTGCAGAGTATTACCACTATAAAAAACTATTATATGTTGTGATATATTATATACTACTTTATATTATTTAAGCAGCTAATTTTTTTCATTAGCAGTGTATACTGGAGCTCTTCTCAGGTTTGATGTATAATACAATCTCATTCTTTTTAACCACAATCTAGAATAACATTAGATGAACCCCCTAGTAATGATCTTTCTTTATTTTCAATTAGTTATTCTTGCAATCATACCTCAAAGAACACTTTGAACACCTTGTTAAATGGCATTATTATACAATCTGTTCTTCCAGATAAATTGTTAGAATTAATATTGGCAAGTCAAAATACTTATTTTAATTTTATTGTATTTATTCTCATTTTTGACAAAATAATAAATGCACATAGAATTCAAAAACCATCAAACACCAAGTATAAAAAACTGTGCTTTCTTGACTTACCACTCCTCATTATCCCCATCTGCCTTCTCTGAAACATGCCGTCTACATTTTGTATCTTTCCTCTTGATTTACCTTCATATTATTAAAGGCTATGTTTATATTCCTTTTTGCCTTAAAGACAAAAGTGAGCAAAATATAATAAATTGCTGTGTCCTCATCACCCAACTTTACAAATCATATACCAATGACCTTCAATGATGCATCCTCACTCCCACCTAATTCACACTTTCCATTTGATTGTTGGCACATCCTAGACATTGTATCATTTCAACCAAAAATATTTCAGTATATATGTTTAATAAATAAGGGTGATTTTAACATAACCATTCTATATATCATATCCTAAAGTAATTTTAAAATAATACATTAGTATTATCAAATATTTACTTACTGTTAAAATTTAAATTATTTTGTAAATATTATGCCATTTTTTAACCATTTGTATTTTATTTTTTATATAAAAATCCAAATAAATTTAATACATTGAGTGTGGTTGATGGTCACTACCCATCTCTCTCTCTCTGCCTCCTTTGTATCTCATAAAATTTAAGGAAAAAATCACTACTATAATTTCCAGAAATTTTTCTAATTACATACTTGTCCTGGAGTTTAGCATGTGTCCTTTTTCTCTGCTCCCTATAAATTAGAGGTCGGAGGTTGGAACTGGATTCTTGGTCAGATTCTAACTTTTTCATTCCTCCTACCTCCTTTCCCTTCCTTTTTTCCTTCCCTCTTTCTCCGTCTTTCTTCCCTTTTTCTTCTCCCTTCCTTGCCCTTTTCCCCTCTTTCTTTCTTCTTCCCTTTTTTTCCTGGTTAAACCTATTTCATAATAAGATTTTCCATTCTGCCATAAGAAGCCATATAAAACCTAATAATCTATCCTTTTATAATGTTAACAAACAAAACTCTTAATAACTAGAACCAAAAATTCATTATGAGTTGCAATTTGGAAATATTCTGTCATTTTTCTTCATTTATTAGCTGGATACTTCTATAAGTAATCATTTCCATGAATTTAATATTGGATTATCTTCATTCTATACTTCTTATAGGAAAGACAGTATAAATGCTTAATTCATTCTCTTTACCAACCAGTTTTCTAATTATGAGGTTGTTCTCTAGCATGTTGCAATAATAACTTCCTATAGCACTCCTATGAACTAAAATATTCAAGCATATTTATTTTATGGTTTATATTTATTGTTGCTATACTTAATGATACTCATAGTTCTCCATTTTTTCAAAAAGATATTTTCACATTGCCTCCTGTGTCCTTTGGCCATGAACCTGGTAGTTTACAATAGCTTCATTGTTATCAAGTATGACAAGATGTTCAAGGATCATCCTGTGTAGTCTTTGGCTCAGTCATGAAGTCATCCATTTCTCCAAAGAAATAGGTTCCTTTGAGTGGGTAATTGTGCTTAGACACCACAACCTGAGAGCTGAAAGTGCTCATTGTTACTGGGTTGATTATGTTTTCTAGGTCTTTTTAATGGACAAAACTAAAACTACGCTTTATTTTTATGACAAAAATGAATTACGAGTTCACACTAACCATTCTTATTCAAATTTAGAACTACAGCATTTGTAGAATAAACTATGACATCTTTAATTTATTTATCCTTCATTACTCCCAGACCTGCCTCGGAATAGCAAAACCAGTCAGTCACTTCAGTCTCTAAGTCATGTCTGACTCTGTAACTCCATGGACTGCAGGATGCCAGGCTTCCCTGTCCACCTCCAACTC